TAGCAAAAGCAAATTTATTTGCAGAACAACTCTCGGATGCTATTATGTTTGAAGAATCTCTTACAACAAGTATTTCTATATCTCCTGCTATTCGTTGGAAAGCACTTCTTCTCCTTTGTCGTCATCTTATACCTACATTACAACATCAATATTTGGAAATGGAAGACCTTACATAACTTTGGAAGAATCTTAAATCTAGGTTTGATCATCAAAAGACCATTTTTCTTCCACATGCTCGTCATAATTGGACACATTTACATATCTTGGATTTTCCAAATTTAAATGCTTTCAATAGTGAAATGTATAGTATTGTCTCATAATTATGATTATATGGACAAAGCATTTTCGAAGAAGAAATGATTGAAAAAACTCTCTCTACATTTCTTCCTGCATCTGCTATGCTTGCACAACAATATAGGAACATGAAATTTCAGAATCATTTTGATCTCATGTCTTATCTACTTCTTACGGAGAAGCAAAATGAGCTACTGTTACGCAATGCGAAAGCTCATCCTATTGGAACTACAGTTCTAGAATCTCATGCACTTAATATTTCAAAGTCTAAGAAGAAATTATATAAACATGGAAAACGTGCTCATAAGTATCAGGGTAGTCATAGTCAAGACCATTTCTACCCATATAGAAAGAATAAACGTTCTACTATTAATTATAGTAGAAAACAAAAATCAAAGATGCGTTCTTGCCATAAATGTGGAATGATTGGATATTTAGTACATGCATACCTTACTTCAGAATATTTTATTAAAATATTCCAAGAAAATAAGAAATTACGAGCTGAGGCTCATAAAGTTCATACCATGGATGTCTCCATGGATTCAATTGGTGTTGATGACTTAGAAGCTTATATGAATGATAGAACCTCTAATGATGAATCAAATGATGCGCTTATTGATTCTGCAATATCATTTACTATCTTACGAGATAGATGATTTTTTATTGAAAAATCTTCAACTTGGCAAACTAAAAATATGATGACCATTGTTGGAGCAAATTCATTTTGTTTCCAAGAGGGCACAATGATGATAAAATTACTTGCGGGTTCCATTATAAAATGTAAATATGTGATGTTTGCACCCTCAGCACCTCGGAGTCTGATCAACTATCGAGATGTGCGTATTAATGGTTATCACCTCTCGACCACCACTTTAAATAGAAAAGAGGTTTTGGTTCATGTGAAGAACCATAAAGTTGTTGAAAAAGCTTTTGCTACAGAAAATGGTTTATACCGAATTGTGATTCGGCCTCCTATTATATTTAATTTTGCATCATCTATCTCACAGAGTCATGTTTCTCTCTGGCATGGACGATTGGGACATCTAGAATCCACATTATTTAGAAAGATCATTCTATGTATAACTGGGCATAATTTAAAGCCTGTAGATATAGACTCTATGGAATTATGTCGTGCATGCATATAAGGTAAAATGATTACTCGGCCTTCAATTTGGAAACTTCCACAAGAATTACCACCAATGCTTGAAAGTTTGCATGGTGATATTTGTGGTCCTATTAATCCAGTATGAGGACTATTTTATTATTTTTTGGTCCTTATTGATGCATCAAGTAAACAATCACATGTTTCATTATTATCAACTTGAAACATGGTGTTTGCCAATCTTATATCTATGCTTATTTACTTTCAGGCACATTTTCTTGATTATCCTATAAAAACATTGCGTATGGATAATGCAAAAGAATTTACATCAAAGTCTTTTGAAGACTATTGTATTGCAACAAGAATCGAGTTGACATATTGTGTTCCATATGAACATGCTCAAAATGGACTTGCAGAGTCATTTATAAAGCATATACAACTCATTACCTGGCCACTCCTCCTTCACGCAAATCTACCTGCATCTATGTGGGGTCAAGCAGTTTTACATGTTGTAGCATTAATACGCCTCCGCCCTTCTTCTCTTGAAATTGTTTCACCACATGAGCTCATTTTGAGTCGTGTTCCAAATATATCTCACTTATGAGTATTTAGTTGCCATGCTTGGATTCCAGTATCAGAACTTCAATGGCGTACCATTAGAGCTCATCGACAAGAAGGCATATATGTTGGTTTTGATTCACCAAGCATTATTCGTATTGTTGATCCATCAACTAGCACATTATTACGTGCACGTTTGCAAAATTGTCGTTTTGAAGAAAATGTATTTCCATCTCTTCAAAGAAGAGTATCCAATCAACAAAGAAATAAAGTACTCATATTTGAAGCACCAGAAACATTTACAATGAATCCCGATCCTAAGACATCTTTGGTAGAAACTGAAGTTGCTAAGATTTTACATTTAAAACGCATCGCGGATTAAACACCTGATGGCTTCAATGATGTACCTAGAATTATAAGAGTTCCTATTAATGAGGCTCAGAATGCACCTGCTTCATTTGTAGTGCTATTGACTACAATACCTCAAGTTATAACAACAACTAAAAGAACTCGTGGACTAGATAAGCAACCACGTAAGAAGAAAGCTATAAAATTAACTAATTCTAGTATTATTTCTCAAGAAATTGCCACTCATCTTGCAGGACTATCAATTCATGATGATATATCCATACATAATGTACCTTCAATTCCTATGAAAAATAATCTTGGAATTGGAAGGAATAAGAAAAAGTTGAGTAAAGAATTATCTATTCTGTATTGTGCTACAGATGATATTTGGGACAGACCATCTATTACGATAGATGAATCATTTGCATATATGATTATAGAAGCCCTTTCTTGCGAGAAAGATGATCTTGAACCTCAAACCATCGAAGAGGCAATGCGTCGCTCAGATTGGTCAAAATAGAAAACTGCTATTGAGGAGGAATATGCCTCTTTGCATAAGAGGAAAGTCTTTGGTCCAATTGTAGACACTCTTAGATCTCGCCCTGTGGGATATAAAATGGTATTAATATGCAAACAAGATGCTCAAGGCCAAATAATCCGCTATAAAGCTCATCTTGTTGCTCAAGGATTTACTCAACGATTTGGCATTGATTATGAATCCACATATTCTCTAGTCATGGATTCAATTACATTTCGATATATTATTGGAATGGCAGTTTATGCCACCCTTGAGATGCATTTGATGGATGTAGTTACTGCATATCTATATGGTTCTCTTCATGCAAATATTTATATGAAAGTTCTACCTGGCTTAGAAACAGGAACTCCAAATCAACCTGCTCCAAGAAAATATCGTGGTATTAAATTTTGTAAGGCCTTGTATGGTTTAAAATAATTTGAACGAATGTAGTATCAACGTCTTCAAGATTATTTAATTACAAATAATTTTATAAGTGATCCAATAATCCCTTGTTTATTTATCAAACGAGATAAAACTGGTTTTGTGATCATCGCTGTATATGTTGATGATCTTAACCTAGTGGGCACTACATTTGCATGTATTACAGCTACAAACCTACTTATATGTGAATTTGAGATGAAAATGCTAGGAAAAATAACTTTCTGCATTGGTCTTCAGATTATGCATCTTACTGATGGTAGCATTTTTTTCTACCAACTAACGTATATTAGACGAATCTTGCAAAGATTTAATATGATTGATGCTTATCCATTGTCCACACCAATGGTTGGACATGGTCGTGATGGTCATGATCCATACTGTCCATGCGAGGAGGAGGAGGAAATATTGAGAGATCAATATCCATACCTTGCAACGGTTGGAGCACTTTTGTATTTAGCTACATCTACAAGACTAGATATTGCATTTGCAGTTAGTGTTCTTGCAAGACATAGTGCACGTCTAACATTATGACATTAGAATGGCATCAAATATTTATTACATTATTTAAAAGATACTAAAGACTTGGGATTATACTACACAAAATCTGTAGATCTAAAATTGGTTGGATATTGTGATACAGGATATAAATCTGATATTGCAACAGCTAAATCTCAAACAGGATATGTATTTTTAAGACATGGAGCTGCAATATCATGGAAATCAGTGAAACAAACAATAACTGCAACCTCATCCAACCATGCAGAAATTATTGCCTTACATGAAGCATCTCGAGAATGTATTTGGTTGTGATTAATTGATAAATTCATTCAAACAACCTGTGGATTTTTATATGATGATTCTCCAACTATCTTGCATGAAGATAATAGTGCTTGTATTGCACAGATGCAAGTTGATTTCATTAAAGGCGACAGAACAAAGCATATTGATCCAAAGTATTTTAGTTATACTCATGACTTGATTACTGATCAAGTACTTATAATTAAGAAAATTGAATCTACAAATAACCTTGTTAATCTCTTCACCAAAGCTCTTCCATTAAGCAACCATCGTCGACTTACTTATGGCATTGGTATGCGACGACTTGCTTTTCTTGAATAAGAAAGTTAATGAGCTCTTTAAATAATTAAAGAAAATGATGTTGTACTCTTTTTCCTTCATCTATGGTTTTGTCCTTAAATAAAATAAGGTTTTCCTAGATAAGGTTTTAATGAGGCAACAATTGTTGATCTTGCAAGATCACAGAAAAGTATAGATCATAATTCTATACAAATTTTATATTATGTAAATATTATGATGAGCGAGGAGGAGTGTTGAGATCATTAAATGTAGCCGGTGTTCTCCATAATATTTATTGTAGACTACAGTAATTACCATAGCTATAGTATTTAGAGTCTAATAGAGAAGTACTGTTTATCCTCTCCTCTTTTCTCTTCTTGTATACGAGACACAACCAGATTAATAGATTTGTGTGTGTAAAGCTCTCTCTCCTTAGAAACCCTCTTGTGTGTATAACTTACTACTACTCTTGTGTGTGTGTATGACTTATTATTACTCTTGTGTCTTTCTTAACATTCTCAACACTGCGGAACCCGCGACTGAACCGCGGGTGATACCCCAGTCGACTGCTTCAGCCGGTAGCGCGGGTTTTCATTGGGAGCGACGAGGATGGCCGAGAAGAGTTCGTGTCCCAACCCGGGATGAGGACGAAGGGTTCGTGTCTCGTCGTCGTGGATGCTCTGGACTCGGCATTCCTCCGCTTTCCTCTCTTGCCCATTTCGTCTCGTCCGCACCGCACCTGCGCCACGGCTCCCGCACTCCGCACCGACGCTCCCACCTCTCCGACTCGACATCACCTCTGGCTTCTGCTTTCCCTCCTGCTTTCATTCAGTGCTGCTATCGTCGGTCGTGATTCCCCGAGGCCATCGCGACAGCGCCTCACGTGGTCTGCTCCCGCAGCAGGATTTGTGCTGTGATCATCTGGTTTTGTCCACACTCTCTCATGCCTCCGCTTCCGACGCTTGCTTTCCTTTTCGTTCGTCGTCGTTGTCGTCAACGTCGGCATGGATGCCGTCTCGGGCTGTCGTCCGCCGTCGCCTTTTGAGTTCTGAATTGGTCGAGGAAAGGCCACGAAAGTCGAGGCGAGGCGAAGCGAGGTAGGAGAGGGGAGGAGGGTTTGAGCAGATTGATTGCGTAATTCATCAAGGTACCTAACTGTCGGGAGCAGTTGAGTCCTCCAAAGGCGTGGGAATTCAAACCCTAGTACGGCGTCACTGTTTATTTTATTTTATTATAGTTGTTATGACCTGTGATTTGGCCGGCATTGGTGCATCGATGGAGCTGGTTTGGGGCGTAGTTGAGTAAGGGATGGTATCAGCTTGGAGCAACCGCATGAAGTTGCTAGGCGATAGGTGGATCAGCAGAATGTGCGTGCGAGTGGGGTGCAGAATTGTGGTTGACGATCGCTCGCTGCGTGATGGCTGGTAGCGAGGGCACAATGTGTGAAATTCGAGTGGTGGTTGTAGTTTTGTGTATGGTCGGAGTGTGAACGCACTTGATTGGCGTACGGTTTCGCGGCATGCATCAGGAAGTGGAATTGAATGCTCGAGGATTTCTGGACTGGGACTTAGTACTGTGGCTTCTTGTGAAAGGTCTGCCAGTTTCAGTCCGGATCGTCTCCTGGCGTAGCAGGCGCGGGGTGCTAGGTCTGTGGGGTCTTGAGAATCAGGATGATTATGGAAGACATGGGCGTAATATATTGATGAGTGAGGTCGATGAGGTCTTAGGGGATACGTTACAAGAATCACCGTCTTGGAGTAAGTACTGAGTGGCAGAAGGGCGATAGTTGTGGACAAGTGCGTAGGGATTGGAAAGGGGCTCATCTGCCGTACATGAGGAATAGGTTATGGTAGAGAATAGGTATCTAGATGTTGTAATGATCGTGAAGTGCGCAGCGGAAGGGCTGTGCTGGTACTGTGCACGTGGTCGTAAATCAGGGACGTGACTTGTTGGAAATGCATTGTATGAAGGAGACTGCTACATCGTGAGATGACGTCTTTCCTGCTCAGATACGTGGGATTTGGGATGTGTCATAATGCTTACGTAGAATATGGATTTGGGGGTGGCACAGTCAGACTGCAGTTACGAAGTCAAGATATGTGCTTATTAGGACTTATCTTACATGATTCTGAATTGCTGCATGTGTGTTTCAGCAGTGTGCTGATTTTCTATGCGTAGAAGTTGCAAATATCTGTTAGGGTTATTGTAGGTGTACTAAATATTTGAAGAGTTTGGATGTATTGCGAATGGTTATGGGATCGAATCAGTGGGCTAGAGGAATAGTTAGCGCTCACCTCGTATCTTTTCATATCTTTTTAGGAAGATGGGGATTTATCTGAGCTCTCCGAAGACTGACAAGACATCTGAAGATGGTGAAAATGCGGAGTTGCGGTTTGGCCTATCTGCCATGCAGGGATGGCGCGAAAGCATGGAAGACGCAGTACGTGCCTTCCTACTCAATGAAGAGGGAACCCTGTGCAAATCAGTTCATTTCAATTAAAATTGAATTTGAATGTAATTAACCGATTTATTATTAATGGGTACATTTTATTAGATTGATTCAAGTATTAGCAGGATTAATATATGGTGTACTTATTTTAATAATGTTTTACATTGTTTTTTTCTCTCTAGAGGAGTTAGGGGGACAAATACTTCGTGGGATTCATTGCTGGAATTCGTATGCAGATTCATAGATTTGATACTGATAATACACCGTATTTTAATACTCTACAGCCACTTACGTCTGCCTTATGATGTGCAGCACACTGCTATTTTGGACGTGGATAACACATCTACGTCAATATTCGGCATTTTTGATGGACATGGAGGTGTGTAGTGAGAGCTTCATATGCTCTCTTTGCCTTTGGAATTTTCGAATCTGTGTACAGGATTGGAAAATTTCTGAACATGCATATCATACCTTTTACAGACCTTCAAAGACAAACGAAACTCTAATGAGGACACGCAATACTTTAGAGTTAGATCCGGTATCAATGAGTAAACATTCAACCATGTCGTGAAGCGGTAGGATTGACTTGTCTTGTCATGATCTCGAAACGCAACTTTATTCATGTGCAGGGAAATTGGTGTCAAAATTTTGCGCAAAGAACTTGCACAGACAGGTTTTGAAATCTGACGCATATGCTAGGGGCAACTTGGGTGCAAGTTTGGAACATTCTTTCTTGCGGTATGTAATGTTATGTAGTTTTACTTTCTACTCTTTAGGTTTTAGTTTTTTATTTTTAGTTTTTTTAGTTTTTTAGTTTTTTAGTGTTTTTAGCCCAATATATCTTTTTGAAATAGTTGTACGTAAGGATGATCCTCACCTGAGATTCTCCAGTGGTGTTTTACCCCACTTCCGCATGCTCTTGAGTTTTTATGTGAAATGCATTTTGATTATCTACGTCTCATACTAGAAGGTTTAGTTACTTTAGCAGTGTTTCGGATGTCAGCAGTATTGCTTCAGACCTGGTGTACAAGGAACGGTGCTTACTTCTCATGTACCAACAACTGATACTATCATTATGGTTTTCATATCTAGTCCAGTTTGGGAGAGTTAATGACGGCACATTGCCCTGATTGGCAGGATGGATGAGATGATGAAAGGAGAAAGAGGATGGAGAGATCTTCAGCTTCTGGATGAAAAGAGTAAAATGAGCGCCCTACGAGACGGACAGGGGAATGACGAAAGTGATAGTACTTATGTAAATATTCTTTTGAACTTGTGTTTTTGAAATTTCTCTGCATAATTAATTTATTGAAGTTAGCAGATACGTGTTACCTGTAAGAATTTACCTGATTATGTATTATCTACTTTTCTTTAACTTTCCAAGGTTGCATCCTTCATGAAATTTAGTGGTTGCTGCAGGGTGACCATAAAGATTACCTGGGTCCCAGCTCTGGCAGCACTGCAGTGGTGGCTCTGATTCGAAGTAATAAGCTTTTCGTTGCAAATGCAGGAGACTCACGATGCATCATGTCCCGACGTGGCCAGGTTATCACTACCCTAGCTTTCAGTTTTTTCAATATTGTTTTCGGAATTTAAAGTTTTTGTTTGATATTTCAAAATACAAAATATTCGTGTCATCTTTGCATAGGAGTGAATGGTGAATAATATTCGTATCACTCAACATAAACCCTTTAGATTCCGCTGTAACTGTGCAGGCTGTGAATCTGTCGGTAGATCATAAACCTGAGCTAGAGCTTGAGAAGGAAAGGATTAACAAGGCAGGAGGATTTATTCATGGTGGACGTGTGAATGGTAGCCTAAATCTCACACGAGCAATTGGTATGTCTATTGAATTACAGAGTGAACCTATGTTTCTGCTCATTTTTCTGTTTTGCTACTTGTGGTATCTTTTGTTTTGAAAAAGAATTTTCTTTTTTTCACTAGAATAATAATTGTGAGGAATACATTATATCTTCATCATAACTAAAGTTGCGTATGTAGGGGACATGGAATTCAAGTATCAAACAAATTTGGCACCTGACAAGCAGATAGTCACTTGCTGTCCAGATATCCGAGAGGTGAATTCCATCTATTCATGCTTCGCCAATTGTCTCATTGACCAGTCAATATATTACATCATTTCTAGATTAATCGTAGTATTCAAAACAATTTTATGTGCAGTTCAGACCATACTCATAAGTGGTATTTGGGTTTTGGTATAGGAGGATCTGGGACCTGATGTTGAGTTCATCGTCCTTGCCTGTGACGGAATATGGTGAGATAGTATTCCTTTTTACTTCTTAATGGACAGTGATTGTCATTTGTCTTGAGGCATTCGTTTAACAATGCTTCGGGCGAAACTTACGTTATCAAATGCAACCTCTTTTATGTGGGTGCTTAAGAGTGTTGTATGTTTCTAATTTTGTTCCGAGGACTATCGGTACCTGCAGGGTAACAGTGTGCCCAGTATTTATATGTTTTATTTATTTATTTTGAGGATGACCTCCGAATGATGGATTTGTGTGCAGGGATGTTATGTCTAGTCAGCAAGTTGTGGATTTTGTTAGGAAAAGATTAACTACCGTAAGTACCCATTCTATTTTCTGTGAAGTTACATATTTGATATTACGTAGCTTTCACGTTTTCTTGTATCCAAATCTTAAAAGTCCAATTGCGTTTCTTTCCTTGTCCAAGATGCTCAGCTTGTATATAATTTCTGTGTTGTATACTTCAACCAAGGATATGGCTGACTCTATTTCGCTTGTGTACTTTTGCTAGGCCAATACTTTATCGTCTATATGTGAGGATATACTGGATAACTGCCTGTCCCCAAGCACGCGCCAGCAAGAAGGGTGTGATAATATGAGCATCATCATTGTCCAATTCAAACAATCGAGTGGTGTAGCCTCTTCGTCAGCAGATTCAAGTTTATGACTATCGTTGGACACCTTTCAGGTCTATAAACGTATTTAACGTAAATTTCTGTGTCCGTCTTGTGGGAAGTCTCAAATTAGGTCGCACTTTTTCGTAGTTTTAAATTTTCGTAGAGTTGAAGAATCCCTAATTGGGAGGACAGTAGTGTATCTACGTTTGGCTCTATTATGGCTCCTGTTTCTCAATATAATAATTTCGGAGAGCCAATCGAACGTCAAAAAGTACGCTATTTGTGTGGTTTTGCGCCGGACTCGTATCCCTCTCTTCACATGCTTTTCAATCACAGTGGTACTACTCTACAACCGATCATGATCAGAACTTGTGTTTCTGGAATCTTCCGTTTCTGCTTGAGACTTGGTGTCCTGAGTTGGGTTACAGTCGGCAAAGGGGGGCGGTGCGGCGGCGGCGGGTATGCAGATTGAAAATTTTGGGGTCTAAGGAACAATTCAGGTGGACTTCTTGGGCGGCTCCAACTCGATCTCCTCGACCACTCTGATTTCAAATCAAGGATCTTGAGCACAAATCTTGTCAATAGATGTAAAATCATTGCACTACTAAGCTGTACAATGTATCGAGCGAGGACTCGACCAGGCAACAAAATTGCGTAACTTTAAAATCGTATATGGCATTAAGGTGATTATGCTCCTCTGAATCAGCTCGGTACAGTTTAATTCCTGTAACTTCAAACAATGTTATTACTTGTGAGATTTGAACATTTGCTTTCATGTTAAGAATTCGTGTTTGGTGAAAGGATGTGACGGTTCATCGTGAAGGGACGTGATCAACTATGAGTGCAAGAAGTTCAAAGTTCATTCTGAAATCTACACGCTGAAACGAATTGAGCACTTCTCGAGATGGTTGAGGTGGAACTACTCTAGAAACAAGTGGTGCGTCACAGTTTTATGGGTCCCTATCAAGCGTGAACGACGTGACATTCTACACTGACAGAAGACCCTACTCGGGTTTGCAAAAACTCGACCTCGATTGGACACCATGGTGTTCCCGACAAGCACCATGATCCGGGACGCTGTGATCCACATACGCAAGCGTGACGGTACCAGTCTGATCGAAATTTGCAAGCATTTAGAGTCGCACCACAACAAAAAAGTAGACGCAGTCAACAAACGGATGCTGCTGTCCACCTTGGATGGGCTGGTGCAGACGGAACAGCTCCAGAAGAAAGGCTCCAGCTATACACTTGCGACGCAGCAGAAAGCTGCATCCAGAGACTTTCCCAAACGCCGCCGCCGCCGCACCTCGCGTCGCAGATCCAAACGAAGCTCCCGCAAGCCCGTGAGTAAGTCCCGCCGTCGTAGACGCCGACGCCGCTGTGGCAAACCACCCCATGAACACTGCAAACCATCCTACCGACACAAGAGCGGCCACCGTAGGCCCAACCGCAGGGGCCACCGCCACTGCCCTCGAAATTGACGGAGAGGACGCCCAGCAGTGGACGAAGACGACGACGAAGGTTCCTTTTCGTCGACGTCGACGAACGATGACGATGTTGACCGTGCGATTCGTCGACGCTGTCGTGAAACCCCCCAACGTTATCGTCCGTTCGTGGTCGAAGCCGCACACTAACTATGAATTTAAAATCTATTTGAAAATCAATACTGTACAATTTTTCATTAAAGGAAAAAATATAGGTCAGGAAAAATTTATCACTGCTTTTATTCAAGGTTAAATTTTTATTAGAGAATTGTAATAATAAAAATCGGCTTTGCTACATGTGTGAATAGATATGATTTTCATTTATCAAATATAATATATTAGTATGTGATCTTTTTGATTGTAAACATTATTGAATTTTTATGGAATTTTCTAATTCTTCTTTTTGTTGAAAGGACACAAACGGTTCTTTTTTGTACTGTTTGCAATTTTGAGTGATTAAGTCCATGGTAGTCTTTCATTAGATTCTTAAATTTACAATATTACATAAAAGAAATAATTGTAGATATTTAATTGATCTGTTTAAAATTCAAAATTAATATTTTTTTTGAAGAACACATAATCTAAAACATTCTAATATTGCATAATATTTAAAAAACTTAAATGTGTTAGAAATAATTACTTTAAATTTTCTAATATTGCTATAATTTCCTCAATGCAATATCTTAATATGTATCTTAAACAATGTATTTTGCACTCACTATTTGTTGTTTCTATTGTAAAAATAAAATAAAATAAATAAAAATATAAACAAGTATAATAAGAACAGTAATACACTAATTAATGTATGTGGTTATATATAAAATTAATTTTACAAAATTACAATGATAAAGAGTACATTGTCTTGAGTCAGTAAAATAAGAGTTTTGGACAAGGAGTGGTGACTTGATACAGCAAATTAGAAAGACTATTTGTATATTGTAACTTTATTAAAACATAAATTCTTCCAAAATTTATTAATTTAAACTTTTAAAATTCTACATGACAAGTAGACAAGTGTCAAAGATTTTAGCCTCTTTATTTTATTATATATATATAGACTCTATAAAATAGTATAAGAAGAGTACTTTCTTTTTTACATTCTTGTAAATCATCATGAGGTACAAGTAAAACTACAAATTAATATGACAAGTATTGAGGTTTCATTGCCAAGGACTTCTACATCTTTGTAAATAGATAGAATGATTGCATTGACAATGAAGTGTCTTAATTCTAATTAATAAGTAAATGGCATATCAATTGATAATTCATAATGTTTAATAAGAGGTGATTTGACTTTATTATAAGTAGTGAATACAAAGTATGGTTAAATCATAAAATAAAGAATGTGTCATTCCATCACTGTAGATATAAGTACAATGTTTGCAAATGTTGTAAGCTATCTCATGGATTGAAATAGTAAAAAATTTGTAATAAAATAATGATTTCTAAATTTCAATACATTTGTTGTGTTATATAGATATATATATATATATATCTATATATATATATATATAAATTTTCATATATAATTATGGAGAAATTAAGCATACTACTCAACATTGTCTAAAAAAGTAACGCAATCATAAAATGAGAAGCACGATTGCCAAAGAAGATAATGTATCAAAAAATGAGTTTTTTCAGCTATAATAGGAACCGTTGTCGTAATACGTGAAGTCTTGCTTGAGAATGCTGTGGGCACCTAGTTATGGAAGGTAGAATGGAAATTTCAACAAAAAATTTCTAATTCTAATAGAGCACTAATAATGCTAAATAAGCTTGAATCAAATTTAGAAAAACCTCAAAAGAATTCCAAAGAAACAATAAGAAATCTTAAAGAAATATTAGAATGATTACAAACATATCTCAAATACATCTCAATTCAATCTTAATTTAATCCTAGTTGAAATCTTATTGGACTTTATTTAAACTTTAGGCCAAAAACTAATTAAATCTTAAATCCTAAAAAAACTCAAATAAAATCTTAAATCCTAAATCAAATCTTGATCAAATCCTAACCAAACCTTAAATCTTAAATCAAGCCCTAAATTCTATATTCTAAATCAAATCTTAATCAAACCCTAGTCTTAAATCAAATCTTAAATAAATCCTTATCAAATCCTAATCTTAAATCAAATCCTAACCAAATCCTAACCATAAATTAAATCCTAACCAAACCCTAGTAATTTCTATAATAGAATTAAATCTCAATAACTAATGAATGAACCGTTAATCTTAACTCAAATTTTTCACACTTCTTAAAAACTAAGTTGAAAACAAGCACAAAAATTTTGAAAATGATCGAAATTACCAAATAGGCGATAACCTCAAAAACGTGTTTGGGTATTGGACGACTTCCTTCTCCAATCTTGATGCCAATCTCTTAGAGCCAATATCTCTATTTTTCACTATTCGATTGATCTCAAAATTCTCATATATATAGAAAAACAAGTCTAATATTCTCTCACATAAATTTCACTCCAATCTAACTAGTAGATTGCAAAAAATCTTAAAAATCCTCATTGGACCTAAAATTCTACTTTCTGAGACCTTGACTCACTTAAACCTCAATAATCCTCAATTCAACCATTAGATCAAGCTCAAATTCACAATACATATTGAAAACAACTATAACCATTAACCTACTAAAATTTCACCTATAAATCTATTACAAAACTCTTGAAATCATCCAAAATATAAATCCTATTTTATTTCACAAAATCCAAGTCATTCAAAACTAACCTTGACTTTGCAAAGCTCTTACAAAGTCAATACAAATCCAAACCATCCAAAACTAATGCTCATTGAAATCCTATTAAGTTTGTTCTCTAATCCCACTCTTTGATCTTCAAAAGAGACCCGAAGTCGTCGTCAAGACTCGATTTTGTTCCTTGGGATCTGATTTTGACCTTGGTTCATAACCAACCCTCTTTGGGTATCAATATCTAGTTTTTCTAAATAATTTTTGCTATAATTTACTCTTAACTTCTTCCTAAAGATGCTTGTATCATTTATTTTTTCAATCTACTTTGTTTTGCCTTATTTATGGCTCTACAAAGTAAATAGAAGTCACTTTTTTAAAAAGGTAGTATTACTACTAAAAAATTTTACTACCTCCCTATCTTATCCATATTTTTCTATTTTATCTTTTAACTTGGCTCTTCTATAATAAGATCTATATTATCATCTTTCACCATATAGTCGTATTACAATACGACACCATGCGCCAGGAATCATATGCAACACCTACTAAAGGTCCTATTTTCTCCTCAAATCTCTCACCTTATTTTGCAATAAATATATGTTTAAGACCTAAAAATCACAAAGTCTTTGCATTATTAGATTTAAAAAATTCAACTTGTTTCATAGACAAAGACTTTATTAAAAAAATAAGAAATATTTTTAGTCAAAAAAAATAAACTCGTACAAGTAGAAGTCGTAGATGGTTGTTTATTGTCTTCTAAAGATGTAATGTATAATATATATTTTCCTTTTAATATAGAAATTAAAGATCATAATAGTATAAAAATATAAAAATTGATAAGATCTCCTTTTAATCCAATTATTTTAGAATTATTATAGTTAAAAAAATATTACCTTCAAATAGATTAGATTTATTGTGATCTTAAATTTTTTTTTAATTTAATCCAAAATTTTATAGTGAAGTAGAAATAGATAAGCCTAATACATCCAAACTCTTATCAATAAGTGCAAGAGATTTTATGCATATGGCTAAAAAAGAGCCAAATTTTATTATATATGCCACATCCATTTTTGATAATGAAAAGATGTC